AGGTGTATTATAACATTAATAAATGATTAATTAATTGTTATATTATTATTAAATGGTTTTTATTTGTATAAATCAATAGACAGTTCATATGCAATATTTTTATGAATTGCTGAAAAAACATTGCAGGTGTTCAATACATTGCATGTCAGTCTTGGCTTATTATATTAACGCTGTTTTTAGGATCTAAAAATGTATTGTTTAAAAAGCAAAAAGATTCCAATGGCGACACCTGCTGGTACGTGAAGAATATGGTCAATACTGATGAACTTCACACTCAAATGTTTGCACATCATCAGCATGCTGTAATCCATTTCCTAAGCAGCAAAAATCTTTTTTAGACTAGTTTGTTGGCCAGTTGTAGTCAGTGCAATGCTAAACGTTATTGTTTCACTTTAATTAGTTTTGTCTCACATTGTCCCACAACATCATATAGTTTAGAATACTGTACAATGTTTCATAATAATTAATTATTTTGGTGTCCATTTCATTCAGCATATTTAAAAATTAAGGGGATCCCTGTTTTTTTGACATACTTTAAACCAGGGTTTCTACAGGTGTCACCAAGTTAAATGTAAGACTTTTTAAGACCATTATGAATGAAATTTTAGACTAAGGAATTTTTCAATTGGCCCAGATGAAAAAGATATTTATATGTCCAAACAAAAATATTTTATTATAAAATATTTAATAATACAATAATAAATCAAAAATAATAATAACATTAAAATATTTTTTTATATTTCTTAGCAAAAGATCTTAAATATTGTGTAAAAACAAGAGAGCTCTACTTGGATCCACACACTTTTTTTCCCAAAATAAACTTTCTTTAAAATAAAAAAAACAAATTAACAAATGTTTTAAAAGTTTTAAAAACTTGTTAAACTAATGCCTAGTTCACACTAAAGGATTTTAAGCCTGATTTGAGCCCAATTTGAAAGTTAACGAGCTCGCCGACAGATCGGGCTGTGATCGGGAAGAAATCTGCGGGTGCACAGCGCTCGCTGCTCTTTATGTGTGAACTACTGAGCAACGCATCAACGAGGCTCGCTGACGCGTCGCCGACACCTCGCAGACGGAAATCCAACATTCAGCATGCTAAATATTCCAGAGCAGTCGGCCGACTCAACCCCACGTGTGGTCAGATGTAGTGACGAGCTGCAGCCAATGAGAGAGCAGATAAGCATGAACCGCGTGCCTGTGTATTCAGGAGCTCAGCAGAAACATCTATGATTGGTCAGAATGGGCATCGGTGCACTCGCTTGATTCTGCGTTAGCACAGACATGAGAGTAGGATATATTAACAGTGGAACTAGAATTCTGTAACTATTAGAATTACCATACTGCTCATTCTGACCGTTCTCATATAAAACGCCATATTGTCACAACATATTTACATTCAAAGCTAATATTGAGATATTAAAATTAAGCTTTGAATGTCTGGCATCATATTTAATGACACCATTACCCTAAAAATACAATCTTTTTTTTTGTAATACAGCCTATAAATGTGTAGTTAAGATACTAAAACACTTAAAGGTCTTGGCTTTCATTTTCACTTTCAAACAGGAGCTATTTCACTGCACAGAATATGCTGTTTTGAAAGATATCTGAAGTAAATTGATGTTTTTGCCATCAGAAAGTTTTGTTTATGTTAGCAGGAAGTTGCCAGGCAAGAAAATGCACACATATTTAAAGTCACAGCGAAAAGTATCAGACATGCATGCAGACATTTTAACCAATATGGTAATTTAAGGCAGAAATGCTCAGTTCTTTAATGTTTTGTAATAAAAAAATATAACAATGTCAGAAAGAAATACACTAATAGTTAGAAAGGGTGTTATAAATATGTTACTTTTATTTCAAAGAGTTATAAAATTACAAAAATTAAAAACTCTCTGTGTATCTATCCACTGGAAGCTTGCAGATGAGTGATTAATCCACTGATAAATCAGCTGATTTGACGATGTTTTTAAATGCTTTCTCCAAAGCTTGAAACGCTGTCAGTGATGTAATCAGCACACAAGCAGCCAATAGTGTTCAGCTTTTTCTGACGACTCCTCCCTCAAATTTTCATTGGCTGTGGTTTGGTAGCTTGAATGAACTGATGGGGAATGAGATGTTGTCAGATCATGTAGTGTGTGACCCCCCTCTAGTGGATCGTTCACGGAGTGTTGCGTAGTGTGGACACCACAGAGATTAAAAGACACAAAGTCAGGTCATGTAGTGTGAACGGCACAGCGATCTGCTGATGTTTAAAATCCTGTAGTGTGAACTAGGCTTAAATCTATGCACAACAATCTGTCCAGGTCGATATCCTCAGCAGTCCTTATCATTATGATAAACAGAGTTAAAATGTCTTGTTGGTGATTGTATGAGTTTTGACCAGATTGGGTAACAAAACATGAACATAGGAAAATGAAGACTTGTTTAAAAAGATGTAAGACATACAGCACAATATTTCATTAAATTTAAGTTTTTTTAAGGCCTAAATTTTTGATTTTGGAATTTAAGACATTTTAAGACCCAGCGGAAGCCCTGTTTAAACACAATAGCCCTGGTAATTAGTTATTATAATAATGTAGGTCAAACTAAGATAATATCTTTGAGAACTAGTAACAACTACAAAAGCAAGTTTAAACCCATAAAGAAGTTGATAAAAAAAGGGAATTGTGATTAACGTGACACATGCAAATGGAAAGTACTAAGCCAACACCTTCACCGTAATAGCAGATCTCTTCTATGAGAATACTGTAGGTCAAATATTGTCAGCTCAGATAAACCTTTTTAATTTTTAGTTTTTATTTATTTTATATAGCGCCAGTGCTCAAGGACGCTTTACAAACAAAGAGAACAAGAAAAGCAATAACCTTAAGAAGGTAAAGAAAATAGGAGACGAATAATACATAACAAGTATGACATAAATAAGAACAAGTGATGAAACTCATTCTGTCTTTCAATGAGTGCTTATGTGCATTTAGGAGAACTAGGCAGCACACTCAGGGCTGCAAGATGGATTTAATTTAGTATTCTTATTATTAAAATATCTGAATGAGGATTAAATGACTGAGTTGGTGTTTGAGAGTGAAAACCAACCTGTTTTTTCCTGTGGATCTTCCTGTTTGACTGTAAATGTTTCTTCAATCTTCACATCTTCACTCTCCTCTTTAATAAACGCCATCTTTATAACAGTGTGGAGATCAGTCACTTCAGCAGGAGTTTTTCTCTGCGTTTGGACACTTTATCCTGTTTAAAATGAACAAAACAATAAAATGTCCTGTTTAAAATTAAGAAAACAGTGAACAGAAACAAAATAACTTCTCTTCAACACTTGCTTCAACAGTTTCTTTATATGAGAGTAATTAACTATAATAAATCAGGTAAAAGAGTAAGTTCTAGCAAGAAACAATAGCCACAAATGAGCTGATTAAAACTAGTACTCCATTTCATAGAGGTAGGTTGGTTTTATATTCGCACATTCTGACTTTCCCCTTAATAATATAATTTCATAAAAAGTATTTTTTGCAAACTCTAAATAGCGAAATCATATAAGCAGCCAATGACTATTAAAGTACAACATTGTTCACAGTCATATAAACAGTGTTAATGTTGTTTAGAAGTCACACTTGCATGCTAATAAATCTGATCGAATATTTAAAGTAACATGGTAAACAATATAGAGACTTCTTAATGAACGAATGTGCGAATATAAAACCAACTTTACCTCTATCTCCATTTCTTTTATATGGTGATGTATACTTAGAATGGAATTATGCTATTTAATAAATTAAACCTTCATTAAAACACTTATTGCACACTTTACTGTTACTTCACTTAAACTTTCTTCAGGTATGTTCTTAATTGTTTTGTTTGTTTTATTCATATTATTGTCTGCTTATAGCACTTTTTTGCCCAAGACAAATTTCCTCTCGGGAACAAAAGGTTTATCTTATCTTTATTTAAACAATAGACCTCATTACTGTGAGTTAAATAGTAATACGTAGAATAAAGGGTTAAAATAATATTGTCAACAGCAGGTTCATAATTTAGCACTGAATGAAAAAAAACTAAAACTTTAATCAATTGGTTTATATAAGTGTAAACGCTTTAAAACAAACCTTTCTCCAGTTGAATCACGGCACGAGAGCGGCGCAGGCTTATGGCGTCACAAGCCACGCTCAAATAAAAGTCTTTATTTTAACCTTTTTTTGCCACTTACTCTTAGTCATGACTTATTATATATAGGTTTTCTCTGCGTTTGGACACTTTACCCAGTAAAAAATTAACAAAGCAATACAAATGACCTGTTTAAAATGAATAAAACAGTGAATGAACAGAAACAAAATAACTTCTCTTTATATGAGAGTAATTAACAAAAATAAATTTGGTAAGTCAGAGCAAGAAACAATAGCCACAAATGAGCTAATTAAAACTAGTACTCCATTTCTTATACATACTTAGAATAAAGTGAAATCATCCTATTTAATAAATTAAACCTTTGTCTTAAAATATTTACATTAAAGGTTTGTCATGACTGCAACAGTAAATGGAAAAAAAGCTAACCAAAAAATACTTTTATTTTGACGCGGCGTGTGACGTCACCAGACGGCGCCGCTTCAGCGCTGTGATTCAACTGGAGAAAGGTTTGTTTTAAAACGTTTACAGATATAAACCTATTTAAAGTTAAAGTTCTAAAGTTTTAGTTTTTTATACGATGTTAAATTATGTTCCTGCTGTTGGACATATTATTTTAACCCTTTATACAACGTAGTACTATTTTATTCTCAGTATTTACAGGCAATTGTTTGAATAAAGTAGGTTAACAGAAAAGTGTGTAATAAGTATTAATGAAACCTTTTACCTGATTTATTTTTGTTTATTACTTTCATATAAAGAAACTGTTGAAGCAAGTGTTGAAGAGAAGTTATTTTGTTTCTGTTCATTGTTTTATTTATTTTAAACAGGACATTTTTATTGTTTTGTTCATTTTAAACAGGATAAAGTGTCCAAACACAGAGAAAAACTCCTGCTGAAGCAACTGATCTCCACACTGTTATAAAGATGGCGTTTATTAAAGAGGAGAGTGAAGATGTGAAGATTGAAGACACATTCACAGTCAAACAGGAAGATCTGCAGGAACAAACAGGTTGGTTTTCACTCTCAAACACCAACTCAGTCATTTAATCCTCATTCAGATATATTTTAATTATAAGAATACTAAATATAATCCATCTTGCAGCCCTGAGTGTGCTGCCTAGTTCTCCTGAAGCATATAAGCACTCATTGAAAGACAGTAATCAGTTTCTTTCTTGTTGCTTGTCCCCAGGTCTTTTGTCATTATTTTATGTATTATTAGTCTCCTACCTTCTTAATTAGTTAGTTATTGCTTTTCTTGTACCCCCACTGTTTGTAAAGAGTTCTTGAGCACTGGTGCTATATAAAATATATAAAAACATTAAATTAAAAAGTATTCTCATAGAAGATATCTGCTATTACAGTGATAGTGTTGGCTTAGTACTTTTCATTGTTTCTAGTTCTCACAGGTAGTATCCGAGTTAGAATTACAATATCAGTATAATAACTAATTACCAGGGTTATTTTGTATAAACAAGGATTTCCGCGAGTAAAAAAAAAAATAGTAAATTCCAAAATCAAAATTGTAGGCTTTAAAAAGTCCTAAATTTACTGAAATACTGTGTTGTATGTCTTGAATCTTTTTTAAACAAATCTTCATTTTCCTTTGTTCATGTTTTGCTTCGTAATCTGGCCAAAACCCACACAATCACCAACAATTTATCTCAATAAAACTTTCAACTTTTGTTCAAAAAGGTAATTTTAACTCTATTTATCATAATGGTTTTGTTATTTTCCTTAAAATAACATTTGTTTAAACGTGCTCCATGTATTTACTGCTGAGAACATCGACCTGGACAGATTGTTGTGCATAAATTTTGTTTATTATAGTTTTTAAAACGTTGAAAATATTTGTTCTTTTTTATTTTATTTTAAAGACAAAGGTGTGTGGATACAAGTAATTTAGTTTATTATATTTTTTAAAACATTTAAAATATGTTCATTTTTTATTATTTTTTCAAAGTTTATGTTGGAAAAAAATTGTGTGGATACAAGTAAAGCTTGCTTGTTTTTACACAATATTTAAAATATTTTGCTAAGAAATATCTAAAATATTGTAATTTTTATTATTCATTTATTATTTTATTATTAAATGTATTAAATATAATATTTTTTTGATAAGGCAAATAAAAATCTTTTTCATCTGGGCCATTTGAAAAATTCCTTAGCCTTTAGCCCTTCATGAGTTTAAATTTTCATTCATAATAGTCTTAAAAATGTCTTTAATAGTCTTAAATTTAACTTGGTGACACCTGTAGAAACCCTGGTTTAAAGTATGTCAGAAAATGTTGTTTCTCCTAATTTAAAGTTTGCTGAATGAAATGGACACTAAAGTAATTACTTATTATAAAACATTGTACAGTATTCTAAACTATATGATGTTGTTGCGGGACGACGTGAGACAAAAACAAATTATAGTGGAACAATAACGTTTAGCATTGCACTGACTACAACTGGCCAACAAACTAGTCTAAAAATGACTTTTGCTGTTAGAAATGGATTACAGCATGCTGATGATATGCAAACATTTGAGTGTAAGGTTTAAGTTTTTCAGGACAACAGTATCTCCAGCAGAAAATATATCCATAGATGCCGTTTTAAATCGTAAAGAAATCTGTGCTTTTGTAACTTATGAAGAAAGCAGAAGTCAATGATTAATCAGAATAATCTTGCCTGACATGTTTACTGCTTCAAAATACTTTAAAAGTTTCTCAAATAAAAATTTTTAGTTCAAAGGGAATTTTTTTTTTTTTTTTTCCCAGACATTTAAAAAATGTGGCACGCAGAGGGGATAAGGCTTTTTGTTGGTCGCAAGACCAATACAATAACTGGCACACTAAAGCCAAATTAACACAAACTATTGCAATTAGAGCGCTACTAAGCCACCCAGTACATTTGCTGGGACATAAAATACAGGTTCATACCTCTAGCAAAGACAATGAGACGTGGATATAGAAAAATAGGGTTTCTTTTATTACAATTCAATTATCTTTGGACCACAAATATTAAAAGACAGGCACATGGACTCTTTTTAAAAAGGCACTAGTGGAGGCAATTACAAAAAAAAAAGATAAATCTTCATCCAACCAGAGGAGCTGAGGCTTACCACAGTCGGGCAGGCTAGGTACTGGGCCCAAAATGATCCACAGATTCACACGTGCACACTTTGATTTAAAACACCACACAGTGAACTTCAATGCACACAAGTGGGCAAAAGACTAATTAATAGAAAAAGAGTCACGCCACACAGCGGCCCGACTGCCCATACTAGACACCCCCAGCTCCTAGGGAAAGAAGAAAAACCACAATTAGAAAAAAATAAAATACAACAAGCAAATATATTAAATAGGCTCACAGAAGCATCAAAATAAGATGCTACCAGCCACTCAGGGGGGCACGGAGGTGACAGGCCCCAGCTAATCACACAGTGTAAAGCAAAAGGTTGCAATGTTAGAACAGGACTAAGCACCACAAATGCAGCAATTGAAGCAAAGCAAAGCAGTCCTCGAGACCACACACTTATTTTACGTTTCCTATTTTTGTAAATATGCAAAGATCAAAGAGAACAAATATTAGGGCTGTAACAATACACGATATGAAATCGAAATCAGATCAACGATCCTGTGTCGCGGTGTGATAAGGGAGAATCGTGACACACCCCGTGACTACCTTTCCAATAAAGTCACGCGGGCCTGCAAAAGTTGAGCTAGTTGAAGAAGAACGTGAGGAAACACTTTTTTTCCCGCTCGACATTACGAGCACTGCTCCGTTTAAGCCCTCACAATAAGCCTTTAGCCAGAAGAGCTCTCACGGAGCTCTTAGTAAGGGACCGTCTGAATGTGTCAGGAATATCAAAAACAAAACCAACTTAACCCCGCTTGACAACAGACAACGGCAGAAACATTGCCAGTGCTGTCAAAGCATTCTCCGCATTACTGAAGCGCAGAAAGTAACACTAGTTTGATCTGTATAAATATCATTAGAACTATATTGTATAAATATTATTATATATAGGCTTACAACAACCTGACAATCAAAAAACAAATGACATGATATCACAGGCGCTTGTCTTCTGACTGTAGAATTTCTCATATAGCTTGAGAAGCATACAGCACTATTTGATCTATAAAATTTGTAAAATAAACATTTGCAGGTTAAAGAAACAGCATAGGAGGGGCCTTGGTGCAGATGAAAAGTTTAAAGAGTGTATTTGTATATAGGGCGACATGGGTAACTAGATAGAATAGACAGAGATAGGTTGCGCGCTGCAGACACAGCTGGTGTGAAAGGCAAACGCCTGCGTGCTGCTTCTGCTCGACATACGTGCTGCTCACGCTCTGCTCACGCACTGCTGACGCTTGCGGTGTGAAACAGGCGTCACACACACATACAGACATCTAAACGTGCTCAAACAAACATTTTAAACTTGACAAAAACTCTCGAAACCTTTACTGTCTGCTGTGTCTTTAATATGGTGTAATGATTATTATGCGTTATTGAAACATAAAGGAGGACGCAGCAAAGAACATCACTATAAATTAAAACTACTTTATTATTTTATGCAGCAGTCTCACATTTAAAAGGGAAACATAAGGGTGATCATACGCAATAAGACCCCAGACTATAAGGCTAGATGTTTTCTTTCCCTTATTTCTTTATTTGTTTGGCACCTCCTTGGCCCAAGGTATTCGGCGGGCCGAAGAAGGCCAGCTGCTGGCCCCAAGAAAGCCTCGCTTTGGCCCGATTAGGCCCCAGAAGTGACAGTGGAAACATCACTGGCCTTGGCTCGCTCGCTTTAGGCGTGATAGTGGAAACGCGGCTAGTGAACACGTGGGGGTGTTTGAAGCCATGAGACGCGGAGAACAGACGCTTTTGACACTCTGGAGGTCATTAATAATATACATTAATACTGAAAAGGTTAAGGTGTTTTAGAATGACCAAAACAACATTTCCGATATTCTGCAGTGTGCTCAGCCTGCTGGATTGTCCATTTACACAATTTCATAATCATCTTTTATAACAGACCTTTTTTGATGCAAATACTGTAATTTGTTCAGTAAAAGTGTTTTCATTGTAGTTTAGGCGCATACATTCTATCAAATAAAAGTTTAGCCTGCTCAGTTATGCACATTTTTTAATGAGCATTAAAATAGATGGGTGGAAAGGTAAGGCTAAGGCAAGGAATACCGCTTCATCTTTAAAAAAAAAAAAAAAAAGAGGAGACCAACAGAAACTCAGAGTTTAGAGAATAAAACCTGCTCCTGACCGGGTTAGATTCACAGAGTAAGTGACCACAGTAACTGACTCGGAGTTAAAGTTACCTCTCTTTCAGAAACAGGCTTGACTTACCCTGATTTCTCCAGTTTGACAAACCTGCCATTTTGAAACGGAAAACCCAGAGTTTCTCTCATTTCAGGGTTAAACTACTCTGAGTTTTCAATTAACCTCCTTTCTGAAATGGGGCCCTGGTCACTGCTATGACATGATTGATAGTTGTCGCTGTTTGTCATTGTACTCTGGTTATCCAGAGAGCTGATGCTGAGTATTCTTAGGGCTTTTCACACTTCAAATTGTTAACCTTGGGTCATTCTAACAATGGATAAACAGAATCCTGGGTTATCTGTAATCATGTTTGTTAAAACCCCTTTTTGTCTAGGGGAGTGGGGTTGCACATTTAACAGAGTAATTGGTAATTGCGAAAAACTCAAAAACAAATTGTGACAAAGTAATGATGAACAGCAAGAATACGTTGAAAAATAAGTGATGTATTTACAACAAGGTGAGGTTGAATCAGCGAGTGAGGTATTTACAATATATACAAGGTTAAAGACAATAAACAAATGTTCGAAAGACTGGCTATGGGTGGCGCTAAATAAAAGAACCAAACAGTCTTACTAATATTCACAACAAATCCCCTCTAATCTATTCTAATAAACAAAAGATATGAAAAAGAAATTTTCAACGTCAATGATGTCCCATCTAATCTACACTGACTAACAATTAAACCAAAAACACACAGGTTGGCGCACACATCCTCTTACCTGGTGTATCTAGACAAAATGTTAATCTACACGCTGATATGCAGGTCACGTGACGTACTTACCTTCCAGTCTATCTAAACTCACAGGGAAACATGAGGTTAGGGGAGATATGGCAAAACAAAGGTAAGAACAGACAGTAACTTCAACAAAGTGTAAATCACATAAAGACGAGCAATACTAATAAATGGGGATAGCAAACAATCAAACACAACAAATCAAACCAACAAGCCAAAATACAACAATCAAGCAGACGAGCAAAGTGTCAAACATAAAGTCAGAGAGTCTGCTCTAGAACAAACAAACTGAAGGCCTTTTAAAGGCCAGGTAGCATGCAGGGATTGGCTGGAGCTTGGGCAGAGTGGTGACCAATCAGGTAGCAGGAGAGATGGGATTGGTTGCAGCAAGAACAAGTGAAACAGCCAATCAGAGATGAGTGTAGGCGGAGCAAGCACAGAAGTGGACTGGGTGACAAACAGAAACACATGATGAGACACAAAAAATAAACAAAATAATCAAATAAGTGCTGGCATGTAACATGTTCCATACTGCTCATGCTTTACCTGGGGTTAAAATATAAACCGTGGTGTTCATTAACAGACGTTTCACATTTGCGAACCCCGAGTTACCATTATTATTTGTATATTTACGTTGCCACTGTCCCTGATTGGACAAACAGCAGGAAACCTTTTTGATAGCATTTCTACATTTTGTCAGGTATATAAAATGTCATCATGTAGGTCTTCAGCTAAGCCTCAGGACATGCACAAAGGCAATAAAACAAAGACAAAAATACAAATGAATGAAAACAAGTAACAAAGTATGTCATCTCGCCATCTCCTCATCATTCCAGTTAAAGCAAACGTTGCATTAAGCATTTGCGTAAGTTCATTTGTTCATTTTCTTTCGGCTCAGTCCCTTTATTTATCAGGGGTCGCCACAGTGGAATAAACCACCAACTTATCCAGCATATGCTTTAAACAGTGCATGCCCTTCCAACTGCAACCCAGTACTTGGAACATTTGCGTAAGTTATGTACAATAATGCAAACTCAAAAATATTAGCGTCAATTATGCACACTTGCTATGAACATGCAGGATTTGTCTCAATCGTGTCTTCCAAGCAAGTTAAAAATGTTTAAATGGAGTGGAAGTTGAATGAACACGGTTAATTTAACGCGAGTTCATTTGATTGTTTGCATTTAAAGCCACAGGCACAAAAAGAGCTTGGTTTTCTTCTGACCCCCAAAATGAAATATTCTGCAAGGTATATGGTCAGATTTTGAGCCAAAACCTTTAACATATTGTAAAAAGGTTCATAATAAGAACCCTTTAAACAGGATTGTTGATGCAGGAATGAAAATAGCCTCACCATTTACTCTCCCTCGTGTGGGTTTTAAACCTTTATGAGTTTCTTGATCCTGTTGAACTCAAAAGAAGATGAAAACGCAGAGATTGGCTTACTTTGTGTTCCAGAAAAAAGGAAAAGTTCAAAACTGCATAACACAGAGGAAATGGTAAGGTCATTTTCATTTGTGGGTGAAACATCCATTTCATGCTTGTTCCTTTGGGCCTTCATACTAAAAGTTCACTTTTTTTTTAGACTTGGTGGTGCTGAAAGAAGAGACTGATCAAATGGAGGAGAAACAGCAGTTTGAGAAACCCCAAGAGATAATGACTAATGAAAAACCCACACTGACTAAAAAGACTTCACGTGGAAGACCTCGGAAACCCAAATCTGAATGTCTTTTAAGCTGTAAACAGTGTGGAAAGAGATACAGTCAAAAGTCACACCTTGATATTCACATGAGAGTTCACACTAAAGAGAAACCTTACACCTGCGAACAGTGTGGAAAGAGTTTTGGTTATATACAAGGCTTTAGAACCCACATGAGAGTTCACACTGGAGAGAGGCCGTACACATGCCAACAGTGTGGAAAAAGCTTCTACTATGCAGGAAGCCTTACGGTGCACATGAGAATTCACACTGGGGAGAAGCCTTTCAGCTGTGCACAGTGTAGAAAAAGTTTCAGTCAAAAGCAGAACCTTGACATTCACATGAAAGTTCACACTATTGAGAAACCTTACACCTGCGAACAGTGTGGAAAAAGTTTTGGTTATATACAAGGCTTTAAAACCCACATGAGAGTTCACACTGGAGAGAGGCCGTACACATGCCAACACTGTGGACAAACCTTCTATCATGCAGGAAACTTTGCAGTGCACAGGAGAATTCATACTGGAGAGAGGCCATACACATGCCAACAGTGTGGAAAAACCTTCCATCATGGAGGAAACTTTGCAGCACACATGAGAATTCACACTGGGGAAAAGCCTTACTCTTGCCCTCAGTGTGGAAAGAGTTTTAAGCAAAATGGCAACCTTGAAGTCCACATGAGAACACACACTGGAGAGAGAATTTTTACTTGCACACAGTGTGGGAAAAGTTTCACTCGAAAACAAAGCCTTCACATCCACATGAGGATTCATACTGGAGAGAAACCTTACACATGCACAGAGTGTGGTAAAAGTTTCCCATATAAAAACACACTCAATCACCACATGACAACTCACACCGAAGAGAAGCCGTTTGCATGTGCTCAGTGTGGAAAGAGCTTCACAACCAAAGCTAGCCTCAAGAATCACATGAATGGTCACACTGGAACCATAGTGTTCACATGTGATCAGTGTGGAAAGAGTCTCACACGCAAAGACTCCATTAAGCAACACATGAAGACTCACTCAAGAGAGGATCGTCTTAGATGCAATGAGTGTGGAAAAGACTTTAAACATAAAAGAAGCCTCAACACTCACATGAAGCTTCACAATGGAGAGCAGAGTCCTCAAAATTGAGGCCTTGTCCACACAAACACTGGTATATTCAAAACGGCAGCTTTTTCATGTAGTTTGGCTGTTCGTTGATGTGAAGTTTTGTTACGAGTAGTGTAGTGTAGGCTTGTGTGTGGTTTCTCTCTCGCGCTCTCGCGCTCTTTCTTTCTCTTTTTCTCGCTCTCTCTTTCTTTCTCACTCTAAGTATTCGCAGGTGCAGCGGATTACGTTGGGACGGACCATGATTGGCGGCGGCTATAAAAACCTGAAGAGAACATGGGTTTGATGGCTCCCCGCTCTCTCTCGATTTTCCCCGCTCGTACTCCTTGGAGAACGTGATCCCATGAGTGTTTGCTTGTATATTGAGATGCCGTTGTGTTAATTTTTAACCGGCGATTGAAACCCGGTTTACTGTCTCCCTGTCAGGCTTGGAGCATGTAGGGAGGTTTGGTGCCTTATTTGTTATTTTTGTTTTCTCCTGTGTTTGTTAGTAGGGATGTAAGTTTTCTGTATTTTATTTTATTTGTTTTCTAGGGAAGTTTAATCTAATTTAGTTAGCTTGGTTTATTGTCATTTATTTTGGCTGAACCCCTCCTGATGTTATTTTTGCTCCTTATTTCTGTAAATAAATCATATTTTCTTGTTAATTCTTAGTGGTTGTGTTTTTGGTATATTTTGGGGAGAGAGAGAGCGCGGGGGCACCAGGGATTATATTTTTAATCTCTGTTATTTTGTTACGTTTTTGGTTGCATCTCTTTTTGATTAAGGATTTTTAATTTAATTCGTAACAAGTTTATTTATAAATTACTTTCAAAAGGATCACATGTTTATGATTGTCCACAACTGGTCCTGCATTAGCTAACATGATTCACCAATCAGATGATTCCTAACTCACTATAAATAACCAGAGTTTCTTACCTCGGTTATCTTTGTCTTGAGAAATTCCCCTCCCACCCCTACTCCCCCTCCTTCTAGATTGTAATGTAATGTAATGTGTATTTATTGTATATAGCGCATTTATTGTGTATGGCCATACACCCAAAGCGCTTCACAATCATGAGAGGTGGGTCTCTCCACACCACCACCAGTGTGCAGCATCTACTTGGATGATGTGACGGCAGCCACAGGACAACGACGCCAGTGCGCCGAATATCTAAAATAAATAGTTATTCAACATGTGCGTCCGATAGCTCCGCCTCTTCCGCTACGTAAGCAAACCTGCGGTCGTTGAGTGCGTGAAGTGTCCATCATTACACAATTCGTTTTAGCGACTGAATGAGTGCATCATCCGGGTAATTAAAGTACACTTATTATTTTTAGAGTTTTCAGTCTGAACGCACTACTTACACTATTTATACTACAAAATGGCGTAGAATAGTACATAAGTATGCGATTTGGGACGCAGCTCTATACTTCCTATGCCACGGGCCGGCCCTGCCCAGCCTGATCTCACGAGAAAACGTAAGTATTTTACATTTTGCCAGTTTAGTGGCTAATTCATACGAACTTGTACAATTTTAAAAAGGAGGCGTGGCAACTAACCCCACCCCTAAACCCAACCGTCATTGGGGGATGAGCAAATCGTACTAAATTGTACGAATTAGATCGTACAAATTCATACAAATTAGCCACTAAATCAAAAAGGTACGAATTGCTGTGAGATTGTGTTGGTTATACCCGAAATAAAATTTTTTATTAAAACTTAATTCTTTATGGTATTTTCTTTATTAAATATTCAACTTAAGTAGTACATTTTTGCTTCAAACAAATGCTAGAACAGTATTCCTCATGTTTTTTCTATACATGCTAAATGAACCTTTAATCATTTTAACATGGTACACTGGCTGTCAGGCTTTTTGCACCACTACAGAGCTTTAAGTGAAATTGATTTTAAAAGTTCTGAATTTTCTTTTAAATTAAAGCAGACTTTTATGTGCAAATTATTTATTGGCCCATAAAAAAATGCAAAGCAAAAATGCAAACAATTTATAAGGGCTGAATATAAACAAACAAATAAAATTTAGTCACGTTTAACTTAATTTGTTTGTTTAAATTCAGCCCACACTATTTGTTTGCAACCACTTTTTGTAAATCCAATAAATAATTTTTTTTTTCTTCAGTGTAGTAGCCTACTCACTCCATCTTGAATTCTCCACAAAAAACATTTGACACAATATATGGAGGTTATGTTGTTTAATGCATGAGTACTTGACTAAACATTACAATGTGGTGCAACAAACACATTAAACCATTTCAATAAAACAATGTTGCAAAATTGTTCAAATGTTTCACTTATGGCCTGTGTGAAAGGTTGACAATAATGCAACACCCAACTGTATAGAAACACAAACTCAAAAGGACAAAAAAAAATGAAAATTGACAATTTCCTCACTCTTTACTTGTTTACTTGTTCTGTTGTTTATTTCTTATGTTTTTTTTTTCATGGGAGTCGATGGTTACAGGTTTCTAGCTTTCTTCAAACTATCTTTTTTTGTGTTCAACAGAAGAAATAAATCCACAGATGCTTGTAAACACTCGAGGAGTGAGTAAATAGCGAGTAATTTTTCTTTTTTTAGTAAACTATCTCTATAGGAACACATTTTAATCATTCAGACGTTTATTTCAGGGTAGATGCAACTTGTACAATTAAATGTAAACAGTTGTTGGTAAAAATCAAGAAAACTTTCACTATTTAAGGGTAACATTCAGTGAACTATTAAAGTGATTGTTTTACTTTATGTACTTGTCAAATAATTGTACTATGTGAATATGTATGAAAAATTAACCATTAAAACATTTGAAAAGTTTGAGCCTATTTGACAGTTGAAACAGCTGCAACATTTGGTTGCACCAAAAAAGTATCAAATCTTAATCTTCAAAAAAACTCAATCATCAAAAATAACCAGCAATATTTAAGTGCAAAATTAAAGGGAATGTTTACTTTCTGTATACAGAGTGAGTTAACTGTATGAAGTGTAAGAAGAATGACTGAAAACAATAGCTTGCATATGAGCTGGCGACAACTCAGTTCCGACTAAATCCACTAAACCAGGGGTGTCAAATCCAAACTTAGTAAGGGCCGCACTGAGTGTTGTGAATAAAGTCAGGGGCCATACATACACATTTTTAAAATGTATTTATTGGAGAAAATAATTTCATACCATCATCTTACATTTCATTAAACCACATTTATCAAAATAGTAAGGTTTTTATGGGCATAATGCACAATAATGAAACTCTAATGTTTTGATATAATTGTTAAACTTTTACACACATGCAGGTAGAATTATGAGTTTTTTTTTTTTAATGTTTTTGTCAATTTTTGCCATATTCTATCGTTGAATGGATGTGGTTTTGCCATGTCCCACAAACCGCTCAGGCAACTTCAGTGAGTCTACAAAGTAGATAAATTAGATCAAATTAAAAAGATTTATAAATATTCTTATTGTCTTTAACATGTTATTTCACAAAAAAAAGTCATTTTAATCACTTTTATTTAGCTTTCATAATATTATTAATCATTTTGCATGTGTCCTTGAGTTTGCTGTCCACCTTGTCATGATGTGGTAAATGCCCCTTTAAGACCCCTCTGATGTACTCATTGGCATGCCTGTGCCCATTTTGCTTTTCTTCAGTGGAGGTTTAAACATCTGATGTGCCCACAGTAAATATCTACACTAATGTTTGCTATTTTTCCTCATGTTGTGTTTGAAAATGAATGATGTCAAGCTTAACATGTCCACCCTGTCAGAGTAAAATATTCATATATTTATTTTCTTTTAATTTAGAGATTAAAATAAAGCTTTTAAACTGTGTACAAAGAGCTTAAATAGGGAAACATTTTACCAGCTGCAGGACCAGCATGTGTTCAATAAATGAAATCTGTAGCCAAAAATGTCTTCATGTCATTGTCCACCCTGTCACAAATCCTTCCTTGACAGGGCGGACATAAGCATTGTTATTGACACTTTATTTATTTACTATTTTATTGTTAATTAGGGAATGTTTTTTATGTTACTTACAACGCACACACACACTACACCAGTAGATGCATAAATGGACAATACAAACCTTTTGGCAATATCTGTCTCAGTATTTACAAAGGATATCCTTTTAAAGTCCAAATAATAAAGCTCATTGACTGATTGAAATAAAACTACAGCCCTGAGTATTTGTAGATTTTTGTGAAGATCTGTAATCTAATTACAGTAGAAGTGAAGTTTACCTTATTCTGAAAAATAAAACAGGATTTTTAAGGTGTTTAACTTGAGTTGCTTCCAACATTCCCTTCACTCCTCCAGTACAATGAACAATATAAAGATTTACATTCATTAGCAAATTTAGTTTAATTTAAAGGACAATAATTGTTTATTTTCCATTCATCTGTATATTGCTAAAACCTAATTGATAACAGAAGAGGCGGCATGGTGGCTCAGTGGTTTGCAGTATTAGTGAAAACAGTTTATTTCTTGAAAACCTTTACAATCCTTTTATACGAACCCTTTAATATTTATTGTTGTACCTGTTTTCAAATGTTCCTCCATATTTAGTTCACTAAATAAAGCCTCTGTCCACCCTGTCTTGTCAATGTCCACACTGTCATCTTGTTTTCCAGTCATGTTAAAAAAATAAATTATTTATAACCTCAGCAAAATATCTTGTTTGATTTCTTAATGAACCAAAAAGTTAATATTGTTGGAAAGTTTGACAAAATATTTTAGATCTTGGGTTTTATTTTGAAAAGAATGATTACATATTTTATTTGGAAATCAATGTTTTGCCCATTATTTCATTATTATAAAAATACTTTTTTTCTAGAATCTATGAAGTTGGGTTGGTAAAGGGACACATGACCTTTCTGAAAAGACACATTTTATAATCACACTGCAATGAAAATACACTTATACTACTTTGAATTTGTCCATGACAGGGTTGACACAATTTGAGGGTTGTCTGCTGTTTTTCTGTTTACATGTTATTTGTAAAAAGTGGAGGAGCTTGACCAACATTCATTTCTTACAGCCTAAATTTTAATGAATACAACAATGTAGTTAAATCAAAAATATCATTTTTTTGATGTCCCTATGCACTTTATAGTGATAATGATCCGAAAACGTTTTTCAAAATTGTCTTAAAAACTTCAAATACTGAATATCTGTAAGTGTGTCTGTGTGTGTGTGTGTGAGAGAGAGAGAGAGAGATGTGGAAAAGTGGAAAACAATGGAGAAATGTATCAATAGGCTCGTTTGAGGTGCGCCTTGCCTTGGCTGCATTGTAAACGAGAGCAGGCGTGTGCAGTAAGAGGAGGGCTCAAAAATGACATCAGAAGTCGGACACTTGCCGAATCTCGCTGTTTAGGCACCTAGAAATGTCACCAGTGGCGGAGATCTCGTTCGCGTTTTTTATCGCAGACGAATGACCTCATGAAAAAATACTATGGTGATTTATAGTAAATATTATAGCATTTTTGAACATGTTTATTCAGTATTGGGTTGTTTATAGTTGTTGTGATACCAGAGCAACTATAAAATTTAAATAGGCTATTTTATAACATGGTTCAAAAGCACAGTA